TGCCACTGCGGACCAGGATGAATGGTTACCCGAATCCAGAGCTTCCCAGATGGACCAGTCCACCTCAGGAATTACAGAGCTACTAAAAGGAAGGATTAGTTTTGTTTTTTGTTTTCTTACTTTCTTTCTTCTTCTCTTAGCTTTTTACTCGGTGGTTGAGTTAATTTAGTTCCCTCTCTTGGTTCTGGGGACCCATTCTTGTTGGGGGGGAAATGTCAGCTTGTTACTGACTTGTTACTGAAATCAGAACAAACTGACTAACATCTCAATAAACACAAGAGCCTGTTTTTTCTCTAAGTTAAATATGTATTTGTGTTATTATTATTATTTTTATGAAATACTTAATTAGTAAAATACTTTAGTTAAATCACTTAAGAATATGTGACATGACAAGTAAGAGTGTCATTGGAGCGCGCTCTAGAGAATCCGCAGCCACAGCAGAAATCGAACTGGGATCCTCACGTCATCTCCAGCGAGCATCATTAAAGCCTCACTATGTAACAAGACCAACGTCGAACCTCGCCCGTCATGACTTCATCGGCACTGAACAAGCATCGAGGGCCAGAAGCGGCTAGGACTTCCCATACGCTCCCAAGGACCCATCGAACGAGTATAAAAGGAGGCCTCGGATGCAAGTAGGAAGGAAGACCAGACTTAAATACGGAACGACAACTTTTCCATCATTCTTCCTTATAAACTTCCAAACCGAATAAACTAACCCCTACTTGAACTCTTTGCTTTCATCACCAACAGACCCCACCGATTTAAACTCTCGACTACGTGCCCCTATCGCCGTCAAACTCGTTTGAATCACCGTCTGGAGTAAGCTCTCGAGAGATAAGGACCCACAACCGTAGAGGATACAGCTGAAAAGCCTTTTCATCAATCTCAGTAAGTGCTACTGGGCCCCTCGTATCCTTTTAATTTACTCCCCCCACCTCCTATACCAAACCATTTCCATCGGTCGGAGTAGCTAGAGGACATTCTGTCTTGGCATCTCCGAGCCTGACAACTGGGGGTCTGGCCGGGAACTCCTTCTATTGGACGAACCCCGCCTCATCCTTTCATGGAAGCTATCATCTCCTTATCGATTGAACTTAAACGATTTCTATACCGCGATCGTGAAAGAAGCCCCTTTCATATATCCCTTTCATCATCGACTACTCACTTCATTCGAAGAAACACCCTAATACCTCAATCGATCAGATCGACCCCTTGACTTACATCTCGAAAGTCACTCCCTCTTTGCTAGGCACCTTCCTTGTCAAAGCAATTCACTTAATCCATTAACCTATGTTTCTTTTATCTACCTATATAAAGAAAATCATAACTAAAAATTTTGTTATAAAATCAAAATCCAAAAAAGATTTCATCATTTTTTAACCTATTACCCTTTACTTCTTTCATACCAGTGAATCTTAAAGAAAACACCGAACTAATTCGATACTATCTCCGATTCTTAAAACTTAGGAAAGAAGAATTCATCAAGAATTACCAACCCTGTGATTGGGAGCTACTTAGCCGAGAAGAACAGCTCCAGATTGCTATCACTAGGATACACCGCAAAGAAGACGATACCATCGCTGCAAAGATACTTGTAAACGAAGCACTCCGCGAATACAAGGAATACAAACGAGAACAGAAGCTCAGAAGTAAGCTTCACATTTCCTTATCTGTTACCAACATATTGTTCCACTAACTACCTAGCGACTTAACTCAAATTGTAGTGTCTAACTCTATTACTACTGCGAGCACTAACCTCAACACCTCATCGGGAGTCCCTAACAACCACTCTGCCGCCGATAACATAGGCAATCCGGAAGATACTTCAGTCGACGAACTCGACGAATTATTGAACTGTAAGCCTTCTTACTATTTTATCGTGTTTAACACCCTTCACTAACAAGAAATAACCTTAACTATGTCTACTAGATCCTCGCGACCCGACCTTGCCGGACCGCTCCCAGCTCCAACGAGACCAAGGAGCTCCGCTACCTCTCGAAGACCAAGTCCGACAACTCAGCATGCTTCAGATCAAGAAGAAGACGACCGAGACGACCGACACTCAGATCATCAACGACTCTCAGAACAAAACGAGAGACGAAGCGATGGATCTAGACAATCCCTCGACCTCCTTGGAGGATACCCCGAAACGCCCCAACAGCCCCGATATAGTGGCGTTGTCCAAGAAGGAACGCATCCGCCTACTGATCAAAGAACACATAGCTATTTGGAAGAGGTTCGTACTCGAGAAGCCTTCCGGAGCAACCCCCGAACTCCGAACAATCTTGCACCAGGCACAGGAATCCCAGAAAGCCTTACAGAAGCTGATCACCAAAGAAGAGCTCAAAGGCTACGTCAAGGGGTGGAACCCCTGGGACGCCAAACACGAACTATTCCCTCCGCCGCCAAAGAAAGAAGGCAAGAAGAAGAGCTCCACCTCGAAGAGAGCCCAGCAATACGACGATCCTCGGGTCTGGGGGGACGTTGTAGGACTCCTGGGACGGATAGACACGGTAAAGTATATGTATATCAAAAGATCCCTTGAGGGGGAAATAAATTGCAGATAGGTTGAAAGGCTATTACAACTTACGGGTGGTTTGAAAGACCTGCCCCTCTAAATGTACTAAACAAATAACTAAGAGTCTTGTAATCAATATTTAATAATGTATGGCTGATTCCAAGATAGATCTTACTTTCGTAAAGTAATCTCTATCAGACCTAGATCATGTATCAATCTACTAATGAATCTGTTACAACTTCAGGTTAATAATAGAAACTGTGGTGCTGATGACTTGAGCACGAAACAGATGAGTTGTTATAGAGTTTGTTAATGATCTCTTCCTCGAACAATTTCTTGCTAAGGCACTTTAATCAAAAACTAGAGCTCCGGTACTAATACTACGACTACTTGTTATTGGTTAATTTGTAATGTAATACTACTTATATGATGACTACTACTACTAATATGCTTCAAATTCTGAACTCTTTGTTGGTTTCTCGCTTACAATACTGTACTAATTCACTACTTATCACTAACTCACTCACTTACTAACTTATTCTTCAACTTGGGTGATCGAACTTACTTCCGTAGGTTGATGTACTAACTTCACTAACTAACTAACTATCACTAATTCTAACTCTTCACTTTACTGACACTCCGGAACACTTCCAGTAGCTCAGGATCAACTTACTGCTCTGAGAGACTTCTGTAGGCTGATGGGGAGAAGGGACTTTCTGGTGGGGAGAGGCCCTTCTTTTATATTGAAGAGTGAGGGATTTCTGCTGCAGGGGACTCCTTGTGAGGGAATATTGCTGCAGGGGATCTCACCTTCACAGCCTTTGCGCACAGCCTCCAAACAAAAAGTGCAGCTTATGCTGTGCTAGGAACACTTAACTCCAGTCCTTGTCACATAATATGCATGCAAGGGAGCACACAAGCGCAGCATGATGTCATGCATTGCCAGGCAACCAAGCCGTCTTCCAGAACATTCTGCATAGGCAGTACCAGCCTGCCAGACCTGCTGTTAAATCCTTCCACCCAGGATTTGGGGGTCAAAGCCTCTCCTCACTCCTTCCTTCCTCCCTCCGCCTCAATATTTTTCCTCCTTTCACTTTCTACAATCTGTACCCTGTACCCTTACGTAAAACATAAAGTACCCTTATTACACGCCGCTCCTCCGTTCCATTCCTGGTTGAGACATGTTCTCCCACTCCTCTCCACGTATATACTTCCGCTCCTCCGTTCCATTCCTGGTTGAGATATGATCTCTCACTCCACTCCTCGTGTGCACGCCGCTTCTTTGTTCCATTCCTGGTCGAGACATGTTCTCCCAATCCACTCATTGTATGTAATCCTGTCCGTATATACCACACCTCATCCATAATGATTGTTCCTTCTCTTGTAATGATTGTCACATGTATGTACCTATGCTATCCCAACACCTCTGCTGTATGCTTTTGGCATTGGAACAGGCACAGCACACCACAACGTCTTTGAGATAGGTCAGGCTTGGAGAGCAGCTTACCGACAGCGCTCCCGCAAAGCTCCTCCTCCTTAACTTCTATTTTTAATGCTACTCTTAATGTACAGGGTAATCTCCATACTATGAACCACAACCTTGAATTTAATCATAAGTCACTCCTTAAACTAATGAAGAATTCACATGAGAGCTTGAGAAATTCCAATGAGACCGCCTTAAAACTATCTTTACAAACAAAAAGAATTCCAATCAAAGAGAGTAACAATGAGATGGATAGTAAGCTAGATACTATTCTCAGCATGATAGGTGACAACTATAAGGAAATAATCACGGTCAAGGAAAGACTAGATAAAGTTGAAACTATTACACTTTCTAGTGTGGATAATGTAGTCTCCTCATTGAAAGAGGAAGCCATTATCAAACAACAAGTAAGAAACAAGAAACAATTTGATGAGATAAAAGAACTCTTAATACAACAAAACAATATGCTTAAAAATACCATAACAGGTGTTAACAGCTCCTTTGTAACTCAACTAGAATCTGTGAGGACTGAGTTGAGGGACATGAAAATGAATAATTTAACCTCACCGAGATTAAATTATGTTTCACCCAAGTTCAACAACCCTTATCTCAATATTGAAAATGAACAACAATATAGAACCCCTCATTTTAACAATCCATTTGCTAATGAAGAGAAAGGGTCTCCACTACAGAAGATAAACCCTCTTCCAAATAACCAAATGTTTGCTGGCAATAACAGAGAACCTAGTGACAGGTTCCCAGGTAATTACCAAATTAATAATTATAAAGAAGAATCTAGTGCCAAAATCCCTGACAATTCTAGGGGAGTCAATAAAGGAACAAGCGCTAGGCCCCGCACTGTCCTTAATAATACCCTTGACATAAACATTCTTAATAAGATGGTACCTCCCTTGAAAGACTGGCCCACCTTTGACGGAAAGGGAGACTATGATCACATCAGTTTTATCAAATATTTAGATCATATACTGAGGACTTACAATGCCCCAGATGAATTAGTTACTTCTAGACTTCCAGGATTATTTAAAGGAGGTGCTAAGGAATGGTTTATTGAGAAAACTGAATCCCTTGGAGTACAATCTTGGGACACCTGGAAGGAATTAATCAAAGCCAAATATGGTACTAGACTCTGGGAGAAAAAGATGCGTAGACTATTTGAGTCAGATTACTTTGTGTCAGCCTGCTACTATTTAGAGACAACCTGACCATAGCATAAATAAATATTTAGAGACATTATTACATATACTACCCCCATAGCATATGTAATTAATGTCTATTTTATATGTACATAATATAGAGACATTATTACATATAAAAACATTAATATTTAAATAAGTGGAACCACTATAATAGAGAAATTATTACTCATTACATTAAGTTTTACTAGTCATGAAAGAAAACATAAAAATAAACCAAAAACATTTATAAATAAACATTTCTAACATGAATCTGCAAATAACTTCTGAACCTTAAGCAAAAGTTAGAATATTATTTCAGATTCTTATATTCATGCAAAATAACCTAGGGTACATCACCAGAAGTACCCCTGAATTATTACTCCTTCAGGTACTTCTGTGTACTCTGAGTGACACTTGCTCATTTTGCCAAAAACCCTCCCAGCTACATCATACTACATGTTGTGACAGTTCTACACATGTAATTAAGGTTCATGCAGTTCGTGGAAAATCTACAAATAAGGTTGACATCATTGAAACCTTAACTACATTGTCACAACAACTGTAACTGGCTGGTCAAAAGCCATCTGTGGCCTTTTTTGGCCCAATTTGGCTAACTACGCCTTTTTAGGACCAGCCCACTGGTAATTAAAGGGTCTCAGTGACCAAACCATGGCTGAAGGTTTGTCACAGCACCACTTAGTTAGTTTTACAAGCCTCACTTCAGTCCTCTGACACCTGTAACCAATGACTACAGATGTCTAGGCAGTGCTACAGGTCACCAATGCCTAGTAGGAGGCTTGCACCAGCCAAACAGAGTTCTGAGTTTGCCTCCAAGGGCCCAGAATTATTATATAAGGAGGCCTTCTTGACCACGAACTCAAATTCCCCATCTTCATTACCACTTACCAGCAATAACCACCTCCAACAACCAGTTTTTCACCTGTTTTTGGCCCAGTTCCTGCTGTTTCTGTCTTGGATATCACCAACCCAACCATCAACTGTTCCCCAGCACTCTTCTAACACCTGTTACCCAGTTTTCTGAGCGCTCCCAGACCAGTTTTCACCCACCTGAAGTCCCCTTGGCTTGGAAATAGTACTAAGTAGGTAATATTTCCTTGATACTTCAGTTGTAGGCATTTTGTCTGGGCATACTCCTTTACACAAAGGACCAGATCATCAGGTACATCAAAAATACCCCTGTTTAACAGGTCCTGATTCATTGGAGGGCACCATAAAAACCCCTGTAACTCAGGCCCCTCCCTTTATAAAAACTTAACAGTTTTTATTATCTCTTTTCTTAATATCAAACACCTCCCATTTCAAGTGTTACCCACACTTGTACACCTTTTTTCTTAGCTTTGCACCTGGTGTAGCTAGAAGAGTCAAGCTCTTGGCATCACCCAGGCTGACACTTTGACCCCGCAAAGGATGATCTGCATGATTGGTGTATTGCTCAGAAAAAGAGGATAGATTGTATTTATAAAAACCAAACTAGAATATTGGTTAATGACAAACTTCTCAGTCAATGTAGAGGTAGTATGAAACATGCCGTCCGATGCAGACTGAAAGATATGGATGTAGACATATCTGAACTCATTGAAGTTATGGAGGAAGTTGTCGAAATGATGGGCTTGAATAGAAGAAACAGAGTTCCCCCTACTAATCCCAAAGATGAGAAGACTAGTGGTACAGTTAGCAAAACCTCAGATATTTCAGCCAGAGTTGACAACCCTGTTAAGAGACCAGTAACAGCAGAGTGTTATAATTGTGGAGAAAAAGGGCACAGGAAAGCAGGCTGCCCCAATCCCAGGAAGAAGATCAATAATATTCATGCTGAAGAAGATGATGACAATCAATCCCACTTTGAAGTTATTGGTATTGAACCGGATGATCACTCCCTAGAAGATAAGGATATCGAAAACTATCATCTAGGATGTCATGTTATCCAAGCAGATATTGGTGATGAGTACCTTATTAATTCTATTCAAGGAGAATCTAATCTCCCTCAAGTTTGAAATTCCTCTTTGGAAGTAGGACATGTATCTAATGCTAAAATGTTATCCAATAAACCTGAACCAGGCATGAGCTACACTACAGGAAAAACTTGTTACACTACGGTATTATTTGAAGACAAACCGGTAAAAGCACTCCTAGATATTGGAGCCTTTTGTTCTTGTACTAGTAGTAAATTCTTAAATCAGGTATACCCCTCGTGGAAAAATGATTTGCTTCCTACACCCAGAGCCAAATTTAGTAGTTGTAACTCAGCTATGAAGACCTTAGGAGTAGTAATCATGCCCCTTGTCTTTCCACATTCTAAGGGATCTTTACGCCTCACCATAGAATTTGTGGTACTCAGTGATGCTTTATGTGACTATCTAATACTGGGAAATGATACTTTTTGCCTTTATGGTATTGATATCTTTCAGAGTAAGAACCGATTTTATACTATAGGTGGTGACTGGAAAAAGAAGTATCAGATTTGTAACGTACATATTTCCCTCCCTGATACTCCAACTGCAGAAGAAAGAAGAGACTTCAAGGAGCTTGATACTTTCAATACAGATTATCTGTCGCAGTCCTCTGTGAGTGATAACTTGACTGAAGACCAAAAGCTGGACGTGTTGAAAGTCTGTTACAATCACCAAGAAGCTTTCTGTACTACTGCGCACCCTATTGGAAATGTTCAGGGCCATGACATCAAAATAGAACTTACATGTGGGACGCCATATCCCCCAATGCTCCGTAAAGCACCCTACCCCTCTAGCCCCAAGTCCAGGGAAGCGCTGGAAACTCATATCAAAGAGCTTCTTGAATTAAAGGTATTATGAAAAGTAGGCCATAATGAACAAGTAGAAATCACAACTCCTGTCATTATAGCCTGGCATAATAATAAGTCGAGGATGGTAGGAGACTTTAGAGCTCTTAATAACCATACTAAGGCAGATTATTATCCTATACCTAGGATAGACCATGCTTTGCACAATCTCTCCAAAGCTAAATACATTACAACCATGGATGTGCTCAAAGGATTTCATCAAATACCCATTGAACCTAGTAGTAGGAAGTTTATGAGAATCATTTGCCACTTAGGTGTTTATGAATACCTTAGGATGCCATTTGGAATCAAGAATGCGCCTTCACACTTCCAAAGGATGATGGATAGTATCTTTGGTTCCTTCATCAGGCAAAACTGGATGATGGTGTACATTGATGATATTATCATTGACCAGTCCAGATTATTTATATGATGGTACTGAGTAAGAGCAAGTATGTTGGGACCCGAAAGATGGTGAACTATGCCTGAATAGGGTGAAGCCAGAGGAAACTCTGGTGGAAGCTCGTAGCGGTTCTGACGTGCAAATCGATCGTCAAATTTGGGTATAGGGGCGAAAGACTAATCGAACCATCTAGTAGCTGGTTCCTGCCAAACATTACAACCATGGATGTGCTCAAAGGATTTCATCAAATACCCATTGAACCTACACATCATCCCTGACATGATTTCCCAGATGGGAAATCTTGTAAATTTTAGGGAAATCCTGTAAAAAAAATAAAGATTTTTCCAGATTTTTAGAGTTTTCTAAATTCTTTTAGACTTTTCCAGATTTTTTATATTTTTTTGGATTTTTTACAGGGAGTTGATCAACCGACTCCCAAATATTGGAGAGTTGACTCCCAAACCCGGGTTTCCCCAAAATTTGGGAGTTGATTCCTCAAACCCATCAGTGGGTTTGGGAGTCAGCCCTCAAAAAAATTTAAATAAAAAAAAGAAAAACCCCGGAGGGGTTGGGGGTTTTGGGGGGTCGGTGATAAAAAAAATAAAACCAGCGCCCGGGAGGATTCTTCCGGCAAGAGTGCTCTATGGAAATTTTTCTTGGGTGTCAAGGGTATAACCCTCAGAGCATCCACCGTCATTGCAATAAATCTTTAGGTAGACAGCGAGTTCCCCGCGGCTCGGTTGTTTACCTAATGATAAAACCCCCCACTCGTTGCTCGGCATTGGCTTGGTGGGGAACTCAGATTTACATACTGCTCCCGGTGCCATCCTTGTATCCATTTTATGATTTGAAACAACTCAGCAACTCACGACTCACCACCGGCACATCAGCATCTCTTTCCTTCACGATGGATCCCAATACCCTCCACTTCAAATATTTCCTCTGGGATCTTGAAGAGGAAGTTCTTATTCGACGCCTTGTGGCAGCAGCAGCCCAGCCCATCCCCAGAATGATCCAAATTGGCAATAGAGAAATCATACTCCGGAATTGCATTGCAGGCAACAAACGTTTGATGGCCAATTACTTTGTCAAACGTCCAGTGTATCCCAATCAAATCTTTGAGCAGCACTTCTGGATGAGCAAGAATGTGTTCAATCAGATATGCAGTGATCTCCAGAAACACGATCAATTCTGGATTCTAAAAGCAGTGGGTAATAAATTTCCCTCTTGTTGATAGATTCTTTGGCTCATTAATTATCTTCAATTTTACACGTGTTCTAGGACTGCTGTGGCCAGATGGGCCTGTCAACCCATCAAAAGGTTACAGCGGCACTCTGACTATTGGTGTATGGGTCTAGCGCTGACTCTGTGGATGAATATGTTTGAATTGGCAAAACGACCACAATCCAAACACTCAAGCTGTTTTCCAAACACATCATTGCAATCTACAGCCCTGAATATCTGCAACCTCCAAACGCGAAGAACTCAAGTGATCCTCAGCAAGAATGAAGAGCGGAGTTTTCCAGGGTGTATTGGGAGCATTGACGGCATGCATTGGGCATGGAAGAATTGTCCATCAGGGATTGCAGGCCAGTACAAAGGGAAGGAAAAAAGCCAACCATGGTTCTAGAAGCAATTGCAAGCAAGAACCTTTGGATCTGGCACACTTTTTTTGGTACTACAATCAACAGACATCAATACCACACTGGTTACTATCTCTGTGACTCAATCTACCCACCCTGGTCAACTTTGGTTGCTTCAATCAAGAACCCACAGGGTGGGGCCTCCAAACACTTCACCAAACTTCAGGAATCTGCCTGAAAAGACATTGAGCAAACCTTTGGTGTCCTTCAAGCTTGCTGGCATTGCTTAAACAGGGGCTGTCGCTTGTGGGAGAAGACAGATGTTATGGAAATGATGATGTGTTGCATCATTCTACACAACATGATTGTGGAAGAACGATTGCCAGCTGATCCTTTTCTGACCCTTCCTTTGGCCAACATCATAGCAAATGATTGAGACCCAAACCTTGCACATACCTGGGCCAATTACCTTCAGAACAACTTCAACTTGCACAACCCTGAGACTCAAGCATACGCAAGGACCTCAAAACTTACAATTGGTTGCTTGTGGGTGACGAGAGGGCCTAGGTCTTGGGATGTACTTTCTATTTAATTTATTGATATTGTTTTGTTTTATCTATCAAATGAATCAAAAGTTTATCAACTTCAACTCCATTTCTTACTTTCTACTCATTGCAACTCAACATAACAAACAATCAGTGAGAAAGAAATATGATCAATAAATTTTTTTGAATGCAAGCAAAGAGTCACATAGACAAGATTTGATCAAGCGGCAAGAGTGGGAAAACAAAAACACAAGTGAGAGGTGATAAAAGACAAGGAGAAGCTTATGAGGCAGCTCTTGCATGCCACTTGTTTTTAATTTGATCCTTGATTATCTTGAGGACATCCTTTGCCTCCTTTTCCTCAAGGTCCTCGGCATCACAGAGAATCTTGAAGCCGTTCATCTCGGTTTCACTTTGACAATAATCCTTCTCAATGGCGATCTTCTCTTCTTCTAGCTGGAGTTTTTTCCGTTCTATTTCAAGCTTTTCCTGCATGATTTTATTTTTTTCCAGGAGGATATTGTTTCCCTTGTTGAAGGCTGTCAGTTGCTCTTGAGAGACTTCAGCCAGCTCGTTTGTTTGAGAGAGTAATTCATCGTGTTGGTAGTTCTTGATTTGACGTCTTTTAGCGGCCTTCCCCCCAATTGGACAAGAAATTGAAGATGCTGAACGCATGCTTGGGGTAATGGTGTTCTCATTAAGAGAAGTGTCAGGGTCGATTGAGTCAGATGATGGGATTGGAACTGGGGTGGATGGCTGATCTACTCGAGGTTCGGCTCGCCATTTTGGTGCGTAACAGAGCTTTTGCCATGCTGCAAGGTTGTTGAACGTGGTCCCTTTGGTGGGGGTTGATAAGCGCAAGCCGACTCCCCTCGCGCATGCCAACTGCAGATTGGTGTGCGCGCCTGCACACCATTGCAGAATGGCGTGCAGGCAGGCAAGCCACTTGCCTGCAGGTTGGTGTGCCTGCCTGCACACCAAATATATGCATATGTGGTCCTAAACGCATATTTATATGCGCTTAGGACCAGGGCTGTTCCATAGGACCCAGGCATGGCTCCTATGGGACGGCCCTATTCATTTTTTTTTTCTTTCAAAAAAAAAAAAATAATAAGAAAAAAACAGTTTTTTTTGGGCCTTAATAAAAAAACGCGGTTTTTCCGCGTTTTGACGCGGTTTTGGCTGCGCGCAGCACACGGGGTTTCCGCATTTAGACGCGGTTTTTTAATTAATTTTTTACGGCTTATTTTTCGAGTTTTTTTAAATTTTTGAAGTTGTTTCCTACACTATAAAAGGCGTAGAATTTAATGGTAAAAACCATTTTTCATAAAAATGAATTTTGATTATTAATTATTTTTTTTCACTCATTTCTCAATTAATTGTTTGCATACATGTATGTACCTTATTTTTTATGTTTTTTTAAAATTTTAAATTTATTTCCTAGGTTTTAATATGCGTAGAATTTAATGGCGCAGTCCAATTTTTTTAAAACTCAACGGTTCACTTTTAATACTCAAA